GAACAATGAATCTTGGAACACTTCATCTAGAACTAATGATGTAATGTATGGGGATTAACATAAGAATAAAAAAAAAGTCAATGAATATCAAAAAAAGTAAAAAAGTAAAAAAAAAAAGATAAAATGGAGCAAATGTAAAAAAATATATTAACTCTAGACTCATACTACTAACTCTACACTTAATATGATGCCCCTCACCACATTTGCTACTATCCCTCGGGGTCCACCCCCGTGGACAGCTCGTCCAGAATCACCACTGACGGGTCTCGCAGGATGCTCAGCGCCAAGCACAGCTGGAAAGAGAGCAACAGCACATCTGGCACTGATCTGTGGGGTGTGCAGAGTAACATGGAGCCCCCCTCCTACCTTCCTCTTTACTCCCTCAGATAAGGACTTCGTGGGAATTTTAAGTTGTTCCTGGAGCTTGAGAGCTTCCACCAATCTGACCAAAAAAAACCCCACTGTGATTATACACAAAGCACATGTTCCTATCTAAACCAACAATATAGAAAACCTTAGCACCATCAACCTGAAAATAGTATATTAAAGTATATTAAAGGACCATTAACATCATCACAAACACTAAATCTTATGATTTGGTTCTTCTTCAGATTTCCCATCATTTTATTTGCATTTAAATTTAAAGACCTTGTTTATGATCTCCTTTCCATATTTAATGAGGAAATGACATGTTCCTCCCTTCCTCCCGCTACAAAGTGTGAATGAGCCCTACCCCCCACCATGAAGTACTAAGAGCAGCATCCTGTTTGCCTATTCCTTTCACTGCGGTGTGCAACTCCAGGTGTTCCTGCACCATAAGACTGGGCCACAGTGAGTTTTCCTGAGGAGAGTACCCCAAACACTTGAGGGTGTCATCTTCCACTTGCCTCAGTGATGTTCTGCAGCCTTGTAAAACCACCTGCATCGAACAATGAAAGTCAGATCCACATCCAGCTTTTGCTCCAATTCTCCTTCTACTAAAGGAGATAAAAGTGGCCACTAAGCCTTGTAAATGGTTGGTGGGACTAAAAACTGGTGCAGCCACTGTGGAAAACAGTACGGAGGCTCCTCAAAAAATTAAAAATAGAACTACCTTATGACCCAGTAATTCCACTACTGGCTATTTAACCAAAGAAAACAAAAAAATCTAATTCAAAAAGATAAATGCCCCATGTTTATCGCAGCATTATTTACAATAGCCAAGATATGGAAGCAATCCAAGTGTCCACTGATAGAAGAATGGATAAAGAAGATGTGGTATATATCTACAATGGAATATTACTCAGTCATAGAAAACAATGAGATCTTGTCACCTGTGACAATGTGGACAGACCTAGAGAATATAATGCTAAGTGAAATAAGTCAGTCAGAAAAAGACAAATACCATATGATTTTACTCATATGTGGAATTTAAGAAGCAAAACAAACTAACAAAGAAAAAGTAAGACTGGGGGCGCCTGGGTGGCTCAGTTGGTTAAGCGACTGCCTTCGGCTCAGGTCATGATCCTGGAGTCCCGGGATCGAGTCCCACATCAGGCTTCCTGCTCAGCAGGGAGTCTGCTTCTCCCTCTGACCCTCCTCTCTCTCATGTTCTCTGTCTCTCATGCTCTCTCTCTCAAATAAATAAAATCTTTAAAAAAAAAAAAAAGTAAGACCAACAAAAAACTCTCTTATATACAGAGAACAAACTGGTGATGGTCAAATTGGTGGGGGGATGGGAGAAATAGGTGAAGGGGGATTAAGAGTACTGGGTAATGAGCACTGGGTGATATACGGCATTGTTGAATCATTATATTTTACACCCGAAACCAATATAACATTGCATGTTAATTTTACTTGCATTAAAAAAAAGTGGCCATAGGGGCACCTGGGAGGCTCAGTCAGTTAAGCCTCCAACTTTTGATTTCAGCTCAGGATCCTGATCTCACGAGTCGTGAGATAGAGTCCTGCATGGGGTCCTGTGTTGGGCGTGGAGCCTGCTTAAGATTTCCTCTCTCCCTCTCCCCCTGTCCCCCCCACCCCGCCCCACATGCATGCTCTAAAAGAAAAAAAATTTTGGCCATTAAGCGTCACTATTTTTTGAGCATGCGAAGATATTTTATAAAACCTTTCATTTATTTATTCGTTTTCTTAAAAAAATTATTTGATTTACTGATAGAAAAATATAAGGATGCTATTGATATTTAAAGTGAAATATCCCCTGGCAACGAGCTAGGTTCCTTCACGTACCACTCCTGCAGTTGGCTTTGTGTCTCCTGTTACTATTTTAACAGAAGTACTTTTACCAGCTCCACTGTGTCCCAACAACCCCAAAACTTCACCTGGAAGAAAGAGTCACCACTGATGTTTGTACTTCAAAGTTTGACTAACCTAAAATCACTTAGTTTAGTAACATTTTAAAACAAAGTAACATTTTCAAACAATCCCTTCCCAATCTTCTATTTCCAACGTGAATGGAAAGACTTGACTGGGGTGCCTGGGTGGCTCAGTCGTTGAGCGTCTGCGTTTGGCTCAGGTCATGATCCCAGGGTCCTGGGATCAAGCCCCGCATCAGGCTCCCTGCTCGGCGGGAAGCCTGCTTCTCCCTGTCCCACTCCCCCTGCTTGTGTTCCCTCTCTTGCTGTGTCTATCAAATAAATAAATAAAATCTTAAAAAAAAAAAAAGACTTTAGATTTATAGTAGAATGAGTTGATCTTCCTGACCCAAGACTGGGTTTCTTACCATTTGAATTGGGACATGGTTTTGAAACAGAAAACGTTTCTCTGCCAACATGTCAAGTATTTTTATAATTACATGTTAACCAAGATCGAGGAACAGTCTCAAAGAATGGAAAGTTTTCTCCTTTTCACAGTCCCAAACCTAAATAAATAAGGAACAACCTGATAAAGGGAACATTGTCCAAACCTTTTTTAACGCAGGAGACATTTCTTACGGCTGTTTTCTTCTTTCTTGTTGAAAAGCAACTTTCTTTTCTTTTCTTTATATTCCTTGTGTAAACAGCTTGCCATTATGACTGGCAAAACATGATTTTCCTGTTAAAACATGACAAAACATGATTTTCCTGTTAAATCTCAGATATTTTGTGCACTCATGTTTTATCTTTCATGTCCTAGGTTAGGAATATAACCAGATTTTGTTCAGCCTCTTTTTTTTAAATGAAGTACCCAAATGTATGTTCATGAGAGGAGATTACTACTTAGAAAACTAATTTCTAATCAAATGCATTGTGTTTGCATTATGCCCTTGGCACTAATTTCATTTCTGGTATGTTTCTTATTGATTTCCATACAGTGTAAATTTACTTGCTAATTATAGTTATTAATGTCATGACTTCAATATCATGCAAAATGAAACTTAGACTCTTGCAAAAGATGTGAGATCTTGTTAAGGTTGATAAAAATATCAGAGAATGTTTTGAATTACACTGATGAATAAAGACCTGGCAGGTTAAGATCCACAAAAAACTGAAGAAGAGAAAACTAAGAGTCATGACAAGATAGATACTTCAAAGGATGTGATTTAAATATGACCTACATGTGCTAGTGTTACAGAAACAAAAGCATGTTTTGAAAATAAAAACAAGGAGTTCGTCAACTCTACAGGACAAGCTACCTAGCCCAGTGTTTTATAAAGGGTTCAAGTTACTTGTTTTCACCTCATTCAGGTTCAGAGTAGTGAGTGCATCTGTTGTGTTCACTCTTTCAGCTTGAACATCTTCTTCTTCTGGCTCTTCTGGATTTGGATGATTTTCCCTACTTCTTGAGGAGATCCTACAGAGAAAATAAAATAACATAACAATGTGATTCTAGTTGTACAACAACTATCAAGAGAATGTAAGCCTCTACACTTAATTTATCCTCTGCTTTAAAAGAAAGAAAATGATTAATTTACTACCTACAAGATTCCCCTTGTAGGTAGCCATGTCCCTTGAAATATTTTGACTATTGTCTTTAAAACCTTTTATCCCATCTGTCAACTAGCTCTGGAAATTCCCTCAGATACAGACTTATCAGTGTTTTCAGTCTGCGGCCATCCAGGTGGTCCTCACATTACATCATAAATGATCACCAGAATTGGCTTCTCTTCCCTTTTCAAAACATTCCACACACATACTGAACACACCAGCTCATTTTCATGTCTTCTCCTTGGGGACTGAACTTGTTGTAAGCAGGAGAAAAAATAAGCTTTGGGGCTTAACCACTGTTAAGAGCGATGCACAGAACAAAAATTCAACTTGCCTAAAATCGGTAAGACCCGTGACTTCAAAACTATGTATCCCTGCATTCAATCCAATGTTGTTATGCTGGGTTTTTTCCCCAGAATAACAATGTCTAATGTGCCTGGTTAAGAACTGGATAGCAAATCTAACCTAATAAATTGATGTTAAATGTACTGCTACAAACATTAAATATTTAAATTATATTCAGGTGTTAATAAATGTTCCTGACCTGAAAGCTGGATCTTTCCTCATTGTTTCTTTTACATACTTCATTTCCAGACACCTTATAACGAAAAGGAAAATGCTACTCTGAAGGTATGGGTAAAGGCAAAGAAAGAGAATTAGAATTAGCATCATCGTGGGATTCAAATTCAGTGGACAATATTTGCCTTTTCTCATGGAAGATTTGATCATTTTCTTATAAATTTGACAAAACCCTTATAAAATACTTTCACAAGACAAGTTTACCCAAACCAATCCTCTCATGGAGGGGGGGTGGAAAGGGGGCGCAACTAAAAATCCTGCATTAAATTAAAAAAACTACTTTTTTAAGACATAGAAAAGCTGACAATATAGTAAGGATTTGTTTGTTTGTTTTTTTAATAGTAAGGACTTTTTAAGCCAAATCTAAGTGGATGTAGGGAGTAGGCTTGACAACAAAGCAACTCTCGACCTGAAGATATTCTCCAAACCCTGAAACCTTCAAATTTCAGTTTTCACAGACTCTGCAGGAGATGACAGAAGAAAGTATACGAGTATAGAGTTTTCTTCCAAGCAAGGACTAGAATAGGTGATCCTTTAACTAATAAAGTGGGGCCTCAAAGGGTTTCACCCTTGGTGAAGGACATAAAGAACACCTGGGAGAGCTGACCGTAGGGAATGAAGTGGAAAGAGAAGCCAGCCTATGCACAGATTTGTAGCCTAAATTCACATCACCTGAATTGTCCAAAAAATCTCAAGCCTGGAATTTAGTTAAAAGCAGTACCAAACGGGTAAGCATCCCAAAGAATTTGGCAGAAGCAGAAGCAAACAAATTGGAATAGAAATTCCAGAAATTGACCCTGCATATGTGGACATTTTATATATGAACAGAGGTGGCCCTGAATATCAATGGAAAAGCACAGGCTTTTCAACAAGTGGTGTTGGACAATTGGGTATCTTGAAAGACAGAAATGAAATAGACCCTTACCTTCCAACACGGAAGAAAATCAAGTTCAGATGACTGAAAACATAAATGTGTAAGGAAAATATATATCTTTTAGAGGACGATATAAAAGAATATTTTCATGACCTCAGAGAGGGAAAGATTTCTTAAACATTATGAAAAATGAAATAAAATGCATTCATTATCTTAATAGATTTAGTAAAAAAATTTTTGATTTTTTTTTTTTTAAGATTTTTATTTATTTGTCACAGAGAGAGCGAGCACAAGCAGGGGGAGTAGCAGGGAGAGGGAGAAGCAGGCTCCCCGCTGAGCAAGGAGCCCGATGTGGGACTTGGTCCCAGGACCCTGGGATCATAACCTGAGCCAAAGGCAGATGCTTAACCAACTGAGCCACTCAGCGTCCCAAATTTTGATTATTCTTGATGCACACAACCTTTGATAAAATTCAAGACTCATTCTTGATAAATAAATCAATAAGCAAAGACTAAAACCTCTAGTAAACTAGGAATTGAGAGAATTAACAAATACTTCATATTATAAACAGTTAACAGAATGCTAATGACTAAGTACTAAGAAGATTCTGAGTAAAATCATAAACAATGTAAGGATGCCTGCGAGCAATAGCATTACATTCCAGGGTTGGTCTGTTCTGTTACCCAGGACTGCACATTGTAATGAATATATGCTCTAATCAAACAATTGTATAACTTTAGTATTTATTAGTGGGCAATTAAAAATAATTGTGTGCAGAACATCTCTGCATTTATTTATAAAACAAAGAATATACACTTGATATACAAAGACTCATGTGGAAATGTATATAATTTCAAAAATTTATAAATTTATAAAAACTTAGGAAATCTTCTCCCTCAACAAATAAGTCTTCTGTCATTAAGAGAAAAAAAGGTCTGTAATCCATTTTGTTCCTCTTTTCTGTCTCAGTTACCATAATGCACAGATACAACATTTATATTTTATTTCAGTGTCTTCTCCAGTTTAAAATTGCACTTAAGGGGTGTGTGGGTGGCTCCATCGATTAAGCGCCCCACTCTTGGCTTCGGCTCAGGTTATGATCTCAGGGCTGTGAGATCGAGCCCTGAAACAGGCTCCACACTCAGCAGGGAGTCTGTTGGGAGATTCTTTCTCTCCCTCTGCCCCCTGCTTGTGCTCTCTTTCTCTCTAAAATAAATAAAATCTTAAAAAAATAATAAAATAAAATTCCACTTAATTTTTTAACTTTCTTTTTCATTACTCAAATTAGTTTATTTTTTTATCCATATTTAAATGAATTTTAGTCATACAGCATTTGTGGTATTTATATATAAATCACTTCAAATTGTCTTTGGGTATATATCGTATCAGTAACATATAATAATAGCAATCAAGTCTTTAGTATTTCTGGTATACATTATACTGTCATTGACTCCATATAGAAAAATACCCTTGGGGCACCTGGGTGGCTCAGTTGGTTAAGTAATGGACTCTTGATTTCGGCTCAGGTCATAATCTTAGGGTTGTGGGATTGAGCCTCACTCAGGCTCTGTGCTCAGTGGGGAGTCTGCTTGGGATTCTCTCTCTCCCTCTCCCTCTGCCTCCCCCCACCCATGCTCTCTCTCTCGCTCTCTAAAATAAATAAATAAATCTTTTTCTTTTTAAAAAGAAAAAGAAAAATACCTTCATGTTTTGCTGCCATTATATTCGAATGTAGAATATAGTAAGAGTGAGTATTTTTAGGATATTTAAATTTGCCATTATTTGAATAAGATCAAGTATATTACACAGTTATGAATCCTATGCAATAGACATTCTGGTAGAAAATTTTTCTTATGATTAAGACTGTTAAGAGAATGCTTTCATGGCCTTCCTTGATTTCATTATCCAGACCTTCCAAGTGTTTCATATATATATGGGATAGCTGTTGAAAGAAAACAAAGGCTAAATGAAAGTCTCTCTGCTTGATGCATATAAAAACTATACACTAAATATGCATATATTGTACTTGATGTTCCTTGGGGTGCCAGGGTATAATCCATGAATTGGGATAAGACTTGTTCTCTGATACTAAAGTCTGTTGACGAGCTGACATTCTTCCTTGGTTGCAATCTCCAATATTTTCTGTCTTCCAATTTTATGTAGTGGGGATTTGCAGATTTCTTTTTTTTTCCATCTAGGCTGATATTATTTTTTTTAAAGATTTTATTTATTTATTTAACAGAGACAGACAGTGAGAGCGGGAACACAAGCAGGGGGAGTGGGAGAGGGAGAAGCAGGCTTCCCGCTGAGCAGGGAGCTCAATGCGGGGCTTGATCCCAGGACCCTGGCATCATGACCTGAGCCCAAAGCAGACGCTTAATGACTGAGCCACCCAGGCTCCCTAGCCTGATATTATTTTTAACACGTGAATATTGTATATTTTGTTTGGATGTATCCTAATGTCTATGAAAATTCTCAGTATTCTTTCTGGAAAATTCTTGCAGTATTCTTTCTGGTTACTGTTCTGTTTTCATCATCCTCATCTCTTTCCAAAAACCAACTGAAGTTGATCAGAATGTTAAAACCCAAGTAACAGGAGACAGCTAATTTTTTTACAATTGTAAAATAACTAGAAATAGATGTGTTAAATATCAGAATAAGATAATTATTGAAATTAAGCACTAAATTTAGTTTTGCATCTCTATCAGTTCTATAAAATAGGTAAACAAGGGAGACTATATAATTCTCTTTATTCATCTTAATAAAAATGAATGTTTCCTTAGAAGAGTCAAATATTTTTTCTGCCAGTAAATCTTAAAATGGATTTTTAAAAATTACTACCATTTAGTGGGCTTGGCAGGAGATATATATATATACACACACATATATATATATATAACAGTTTAAGAACAAACATTTCAATCCTTTTAATAGGCTCAATGGAATAAAATAAAATAAATAAAATATCTTTTGACTATAGCTTTACAATCATTCCGATTCATCCTCCAAATGAGTATTTTTTATCTGCCTTCTGTTAAGAAAATACTATAGAGCATTAACTATTCTTTTATTTAAGTTTTTAATTCCAGTTAGTTACATACAGTGTTATATTAGTTTCCAGAGTACAATATAGTAATTCAACAGTTCCATACATTACCTTGTGCTCATTAAGGAGTGCACTTAGGTTAGGGGAGTGCACTTAAGTTAGGGGAAATGATAAAGTACAGAACTGTGAGGTAGATCAGATTTATCAACAGTTGCCCCAAATTCTCAGTAGTGCTTGGTTTCTCCCAGAAGTGCTTTGTAGCAACACACTTTTCTTCCTTTTCCAATCACACCTCCAAAGCAATTTATTGACACTAAGTGCCAAGCAATTAAAGAGTGCAGTATGTCATATCTTCCATGCAGTCTTATTTTTTAGGAAAAGGGACTTAAACACAGAGATCAACCTTACTCAGTTTTGCAATCTTAATTTCAGAACTTATCAGCATTGAATAACTTCTAAATTTTATACCTGTTCCAACATTGGGCAAAGATTTTATTAATGGGCTACATGGTTAAGGCCAGTCACACAGTGGGTAATATTGCTCACCTTTACTAAAAACATGAAAAATCCAATTAAAGTGTAGAAAGGCATTGAAATCATGCATAAAACTAAACTGGGTTTTTCAAATTCAGCTGATGATAGGAAGTTGAGTAAAAGTAATGAGATCTAAAAGAAAAAGAGCCAGAGGTATTATAATTTTCTCAGTCATTATATAATATTTTAAGCTATTTTCTATGAAGAATCTGTTTTCCTAGGAGATATTCTCATTTTCAGTTTTCACCTTATATATAGCTATATTAGGATTTCCTCTTTAGGAAGCATGAAACTATCATTACAACTGAAACACAGGATTATAATAAAGTCTGACATACTCATCTAAAAGATTTTGTACTATCTGATATGGATGGAGAGCAACAAAAAAAGAAGGGATGTAACATTATTTTATCACCCAGAATCCTCAAATGCCTTCACCATCAGGATAAACTTAAGAATTAACTGGCAATATGACTTGGGAACTTAAAGGACAAAATAAATATTGAGGTGGGTATTTATTGCCATATTTAAGCAATAGGAGAAATACAAGAATTATCCATTTTGATACTAACGTAGGAAAATTGAAGGGTTTAAAACATCCTCAGAGGAGTGAGTAAGTCATGGGGATAAAAGGCACAGCATAAGAAATAGAGTAAATGACATTGTAATAGCATTATATGGTGACAGATGGTCGCTACACTTGCGGTGAGCATAGCATAATGTATACTTGTGGAATCACCATGCTGTACACCTGAAACTAATGGAACACTGTGTGTCAACTATGCTAAAAAAAATCCTCAGAGACAAACAATAGGGACAGCACTGCACTGTACGTAGCAGCCCATATTCCCACCCAGACTACTTTGGTAGTTTCATAAGCGGACTCCCTGGCTCTGGTTCTCCTTCCATTACAAATCCAGGGGACATTCTGAAGAATGGTTTGGTTTGGTTTGAATAAGAATCACTTTCTCTTACATATTCCATTGAATGTAAGCCCTCTGATTGCAAAGACTGTTTTGTTCAAGCAAAGTGGCACATTAACAGAGAAATGCAATAAATATCAATGAATGAATACTGGGAAGGCAAAGAGTAAGGAGGATTTCTCATTATGTTTTTTATTCATCAAACAATCAAAAAAGATACATATTAAGGGTCCAATTTATGCAAAACATTTTGTTAAGTGGGACTGTAGTTACTGTAGTTGTAAGAAAAGAGGAGAAAGAGAAGAGGATAGAAACTCCTATTGAGCATCTATGGAGCATTTACTGTTTGCCAAGTACTTGGATGAACTATTTACTAGCACTCTGATAGTTAATGTGCTTTGAAAAACTCAATCTTAACCCTTTAGAGTACTATTGTTATTATACATATTTTCTGAGGTTCAGATAACTGAAGTAACTTGCCCAATGACTTCTAACTATTCTGTGCTAGATCAAGGATTCAAACTGGGGGCCATCTGACTCCAGAGCCCAAACTCTTAACCACTGTACTTTTTGTTGTATGAGTCAATTGTCCATACATCCAGCCAATGTACAATGTGTTGGGTGTCAAGATATCTATGAAACAATACAACCAAAAAGCATAAAAATGTTTCCTCCACAAGAACAAGAAACATTTTCTGAAGGAAAAAGCAATATAAACTGAAATAATCTTAGGGTTCATTAGTTTATTTTATAACCTTGTATCAGAATCTCTTTGAAGATTTATTGCCCTTACCATTTATAATGATTAAAGGTTTTGCTTTAACAAAATATAGAGCAATATGTCTTAAGTTTTAGAAAACTGAAGTTAAACTTTCTAATTCTATAAATGCAATGAAATAACTTATCTTTGACCACCCTACCTCCTTCCTCCTATTCCCTTTCTTTCCATTATCTTACTGCACTAATTACCTCATCTATCTTGTCCCAAACATCAGGAAAATAAAAAAGAATCCTCCCATTAAATCTTCCCTCTGGCAAACAATAGCAACAACAGTACATTTTAAGGAGTTGTAAAACACTTCCTGTTTCTATTTCCCCTTTTTATATTTACTCCTCCATCTGCTATAAACTAGATTCTATATTCACTGCTTTACAAAACTGCAGTTTTACAAGTTAGTGGTAGACTTCTATATGTAGAAATACAGAGGAATAGATATCCTAAAAAGACCTTACCCACACCATTTGAAACAAATGCCCTTCAAATACACTGCTAGTCTCAGAAAAACAGTGAGGGAATTCTTTTTTTTTTTTTTTGGAATGTAACTTTATTAACTGGGTTTGAAATTTTAGCATATTTAAAATTACCACACTCCTTGTAGAAATCCCTATTTGACCAGATATTTTACTTTTTAAAATATCTGCTTCAGGGGCACCAGGCTAGCTCAGTCAGTAGGGATGTGACTCTTGATCTTGGGGTCATGAGTTCGAGGTCACGTTGGGTGTGGTGCCTTGAACTCTCATTCAGAGATCCTGTTCCTGGTCTTGTCTCTGTTCTGAGTCTTGATCATCAGGTTCTCTTTTTCTCTGGACATGGAATCTGGATCTCCGACTTTGAAACCAAATTTGGACTCTTGACTCTGGAATGCCAATTTCTTTAGCAAGTTGCTCTCTGGTATCAATGCCAGGATAAGGGTTGTTCATAAATGCCTCGATGAGGGTGTGTAATTGCGAAGAAGTGTAGCTGGTATGACACCGTCTGTCTTCTCTACTTTGAATCTCCTCTTCAGAGTGATCTTGGTCTTGACTTGATTCTAAGTCCTCATCGGGTTCTGATTTTTTCTGGCACTGGTGCCTAGCTCTTCGATTCTGAAACCAAATCTGGATTCTGGACTCATCAGTGTTGATTTCTAAAGCGAGTCTTTGTTTGGTAGCATAACCTGGGTAAGGATTTTGATGAAATGCCTTGATGAGGATTTTCAATTGATCTTCTGTGAATTTGGTGCGGCTGCGTCTCTGATTCATTGTTATGGTCTTGTTTGGAGAGTTGTCTTGGGCCATGTTGGAAGAGAGTTCTGAAGTCTAAGGATCCGAGGGAATTCTTTAAGGGCAAAAACAAAGTCTGAAACCTGACTTGGACCTTTAAGTAAACACTAAATCTGAAAGACCTGGGAACAAATGCTTATTCCAGTTTGGGGATGGACAGGCAAAGACTTTGGCCCTCCTTAAGGTCCTTCCCTCCAAGTACCTTCAATAGAATAAAGAGTAACCTTCTTTATGAGTATTCCTTGCAAATCCCATATTAAGGCATGATACTCTAAGATGGTTTATGCAATCCTATGTGGGTTCTACACTGCACGTCTTGTGAAAGTAACTGAAAATTCTTTTAGGATGAAGACATCCCCAATTTGACATCTTGAGAGTTTCATACTTAAAGGTCAACTAAATATGTGCTCCCAGTTAAAAAAAAAAAAAAAGGAAAGAAAGCCAAACATACAAAGCAATCAGCAATAATAAGGGTAAATGAGGAGGGAAAAAAAAACAACACATACACACATATTAAAACTATCTGTAGACTATTAGAATTGTCAAATAACAAGCAAATATTATTTTCAATTAAATGTATAAGGAAATCAAACCTGGAATAAAGAACACAAGCAAGTAACAAAAGACCACGAGGAATAATTGGACATGTTTGAAAGAGAACCAATTAGAGTTTTAGAAAACAAAGTTGAAATTTTTAAAAGTCAGTCAAAGATCAGAAATAAATTAGAAAGAGCTGAATACGAAATAACTGAATTGGACAGAAGTTCTGAAGCATTTCCCAGAGTGCAGCAAGGACAAGGATATGGAAAATTTGCACAAAATGCTAAGAGATGTGGAGAATAGACTGAGAATAACACTAACACTATCTCAGTAGACTCCAGGGAGCAAACAATATTTTATTTTTACTTTAGTAAGAGAGGTAATATTTGAAGAGATACTGGCTGAGAATTTCCCTGAACTGACAAAAGAATTCATGGATTCAGGCAGCACAATTCATTTTTAAAAAGATAAATAAAAAGAAATCCACACCTAGAAACACTGTAATGAAATTAAAGATGCTAAAGTCAAAGACCTTAAGAGCAGTCAAAGATGGATCTTCTACAAAGGCGTGGCAAAAGAACTGACAGCAGACATCTTAATAGCAAAAACGTCAGCAAGAGGTTGAGTATATTTATGTGATAAAAGAAGATAATTGCCAACCAAGAAATGCATATGCAGTCAAATTAACTTTTTTTAATAGCTCTCTATGTATAGTTTTATTTATTTATTTATTTATTTGACAGAGAGACACAGCAAGAGAGGGAACACAAGCAGAGGGAGTTGGAGAGGAAGAAGCAGGCTCCCACAGGGAGCCTGACGCAGGGCTTGATCCCAGGACTCCAGGACCATGACCCAAGCCGAACGCAGGCGCCCAACCAACTGAGCCACCCAGGCACCCCCCAGTCAAATTAACTTTTAAGAATGAGAGTGAAAAAAAGAATAAAAAAAAAAAAGGCCCTAATAAGAGAGAGAAAAGACTAAGCTCCAAGTGTGAATAGTGAACAAATAATGGTCAACAAAAAGTGTCTACAAATCTTTTTTAACTTCCTAAAATAATAATAATAATAATGTTTATTTGTGAGATTTAGAAAAAGAAAGAACAAAACACTAGAGAACAGCATGTAAGTAGGTTAAGCAATTATTTTTTTTTTATTCTTATGTTAATCCCCATACATTACATCATTAGTTTTAGATGAAGTGTTCCATGATTCATTGTTTGTGCATAAGGTTAAGCAATTATTGATCATAAAGTCTCCAAACACAGCATTGGAAGTAATTAGGATATTGACTAACTTTAGGCTTTGTTAAGTTTAATATGGGGGGAAAATCAAGGATATCATGGGCTGAATTGTGTCCCCTTCAAAATTCATATGTTGAAGTTCTAAGCCTGGTAGAACATGACTGTATTTGGAGATAGGGTCTTAAAAGAGGTAATTAAGATTAAAGAGGTCACGGGGTGGGCCCTAATCCAATATGACTCTTGTTCTTATAAGAAGAGGAAATTTGGACACAGACACACACGAAAGACCATGTGAAGACACTGGGAGATGGTGGCCATCTACAAGCCAAGGAGAAGGCCTCAGAAAAACAACTCTGCAGACACCTGGATCTTGGACTTCTACCTCCAAAATGATAAAAAATAAGTTTCTGTTGTTGAAGCCACCCAATTTGTGGTACTTTATTATGGCATTTGCAGCAAACTAATGCAAAGAGTAACCACTAAGGTAATAAAATCTGGTTTATGACTTCCAAACCAGAAGAGGGTAAAATGTGGAATAAAAGAGAATAAACAAATGTTTTTTAAAAGATTTTATTTGTTTATTTGACAGAGAGAGACACAGCGAGAGAGGGAACACAAGCAGGGGGAGTGGGAGAGGAAGAAGCAGACTCCCCACTGAGCAGGGAGACCAATGCGGGGCTTGATCCCGGGACCCTGGATCATGACCTGAGCTGAAGGCAAGATGCTTAACGACTGAGCCACCCAGGTGCCCTGAGAATAAACAAATTTGATTGAATAAAAAACCAAAAGCAAGAAAGACAGGAAGCCACATAATGCATATAAATATATAAAGCCATAAAGTAAATATACATAAATATAAAGCCATAAAGTAAAATGATATAAACAAATTGAAATATATTAACAATCACAAGAAATTCATTAAAAGCATGGATTGTCAGATTGAATTTAAAAGCAACAACAAATAAAATCCAACTATATTCAGTTGACAAAAGACACACATTGAAGCATAAGGGCCACTGAAAGGCTGAAAGTTAACATATGCAAAAAAGATTTACCAGGCAAATATTGAATAAAAGAGATGTGGTGAACTTTTACTAATATCTGATATACTGACTTTAAGACCAAAAACCATTATTAGAATAAACAGGGTCACTACATAATGATTCCAGACTGAATGCACCCAGTAAAATACAGCTGACCCTTGAAAAACATGATTTTGAACTGTGCAGGTCGGTCCATGTATACATGGGTATTTTTCAGTAAATACAGTACTGGAAAATGTATCTTCTCTTCCTTATGATTTTCTTTTTTTTTTTTTTCTTATGGTTTTCTTAATAACATTTTTTTCTCTAGGTTGCTTTGTTGTGAGAATACAGTATATATGTAACATACAAAATATGTGTTAATCAACTGTTTATGTTATTGGTAAGGCTTCCAGTCAACAGTATATATTTTGGGGGAGTCAAAAGCGATATGCATATTTGGGACTGTGTAGAGGGCTGGGGCCCCTAACCCCCATGTTGTTGAAGGGTCACCTGTAGTCTCAAAATATATAAAGCAAAATTGATTAAATGAATGGATGTAACTGACAAATCTACCTTTTATTGGGAAACATAAGGGGAAAAAAACAAATAGATCAAGGACTAATTCCAATAGTTAAGGAGGCATTACCTTGTTAGGACATTTGACTATTGTAGCACAACCACTTATAAAATTGACCCGAGGAATGATATGATTAGGTATTATAGGAAGGACACTTAGAGACTAAGAAGCAATTTAATAGCCTTTAGGATTTCTGCTGGCATACTGAGTTCTCCAACTGGTTGTATCTGTGGCATTCCTGTCCACACAAAATCCAACCTTTGGATATTATCCACAAAGACCAGCCACTGTGACTATAACAGCCCAAAGAAGTAAGATGTTGGGTCTCTTTACCCCTAAATCTTCTATCCTGTCCCCAGGATATATAGGAGAAAGGAAAATCCAGAAGAAAATGGAAGAATAAAAAGATAGATCTTGCTCCCTTTCTCACTACTGGTCCCCAAACTAAGGACATGCCTGAAATGGGTTTGGGGACAGAGCTATACACTGCTTATGAGATTAAAGTTATGATTTGGATGTGGCTGGCCTTTTCAGTTCTTAAGGTGAATCTTAATTAACTGTTTTAATATCTGAAATGATCAGAAAGCTATGGTATGTTCTCAAAATGTCAACAAGGCATATTATTAACCAAACTTTTTCATGTTTATTTATGTTACTAGTCAATATGGCCACCTATCACACTTTTTTTTTTTTAATAAGTAGAATTATTCAGGAGGAAAACTACACTGAGTAGAGAGGGTTAGGTTCAGGTATGATTCTTTTAAGTTTTTCCCACTCTGTAAAATGAGGGAACTGTCCCAAGTGATCTAGTCTTTGATAATAGATAAGCCATGCCAAGATTTCTACAGATATTTTGCTTCTCTCCAAAGAAACAGAGATGTAAAAGAAAAACCCCAAAGAACAGATAGAAAATAGGAGAAAGAAAATGAACAATACTAAAACCAGAAACACGGTCCAACTAATAATGGAAGTACTAAAGAAGTAATTCCATTCTTTTCTAAGTAAAGTATTTACACTTAACTTTGCATTTTTAAAAATAAGCTTTAAAAAAACTTAATACAAATGTGCATACTACATGGACAGATACTTACAATAAGAAAGCCAAGAGACCAAAAGCCACTATTCTTTCTCCTGTTGCAAAAGATGAATGAAATCATGTTATGTGAAGAATATAAGAGAAGCTGAACAACCAACTATGTAAACCACCTATGAACAACAAGGTCAATAGCAAGAGAGCTGGCTGGTGACGTGTGGGACAGGGAATGGGGAGATAATTAGATCAGAAGGCTGTGTAAGGCGATTTTCTTACGTACAACTTTTGTTAATGATAGTGTTAATGAAAGATATTTGTTTTGATTCTATTATTATATTCAGCCTGGTTAAAAAAAAATGATCACTTACAAGAGCAAACATGAGTCCCAGTGAAAAGTTGAGGTCCAAAATCATGAAGTAGTTAATTAAATATATTGAAAGAAGAATCAAGCAGTATAACGGAATGTCCACCAAAGCCTGTCCAGTCCAGTATGCTGAAGGACACAGGCCTGAAATCCATAACTGAGACCAAGTTTTTTGCTGATAAAGAAACAGAAGGGATATAGAAGGGTTTGAAATGTTAGTTAGAAAATGTCCTGCATTTATGCAAATATATTAATTCTTGGTAAACTTTAGAAATAGCGTGTTGTAGTAGCAGGTAGGTTTTTTTTTTTTTTTGTCTATATTATTTTATATGGTGAATCTGAGCTTCAGTAACTTTCTAACCCACGTTTAGGTAAGCAGGCCTCAGGACAACTAAGACATTAACACTATCACAAAGAATACAGTGTCTCTGTGACTGGAAAATAGGTTTCTCCTAAGTATCTGACATCCAGTGTGGGAATGTGTATAGCCAATAGCTCAACATGAAAGGTCTGACTTATTTGTAAAGTTCGTTTACTTTTTGATGTAGATAAATAAAAATGACTATCACATAAATTTTTAAAGGCCACTTTACAAAAGCATAGTTAAAGCTTCGGAAACATGGTATATCTTATCTTTGATGCTCTGTTTATTTATTTATTTTTATTTTTATTTTTTTAAAGATTTTATTTATTTATTTGCGAGAGAGAATGAGAGACAGAGAGCACGAGAGGGAGGAGGGTCAGAGGGAGAAGCAGACTCCCCGCTGAGCAGGGAGCCCGACGTGGGACTCGATCCCGGGACTCCAGGATCATGACCTGAGCCGAAGGCAGTCGCTTAACCGACTGAGCCACCCAGGCGCCCTGATGCTCTGTTTAAAAATACAAATTCCAGAGGCGCCTGGGTGGCTCAGTTGTTGGACATCTGCCTTCAGCTCAGGTTATGATCTCAGAGTCCTGAGATCGAGTCCCACATCGGGCTCCCTGCTCAGCGGGAAGCCTGCTTCTCCCTCTCCCACTCCCCCTGCTTGTGTTCCCTCTCTCGCTGTGTCTCTCTCTCTGTGTCAAATAAATAAATAAAATCTTAAAAAAAAAATACAAATTTTGTTTGGAATTGTGAAACAACAACATGATGTCAAAAAATAGCACATTTTCACCTCCACAGTTGATTTAGTATGATTCCCTTTAAAGGTGAGGCAAGTTCACTGTGTTGAATAGTGAACTTTCTGACCCCTTTGAATGATTAACCATTTAATAAAATCTATAATGAGATTAAAGCAATGACATATTTATGTGTAAACATATTTTTCTTGAAGAGCTATCCTGAGTGCATAAAACAATGAAATTCTAACTACTAAAGTCATCTTTCTCCCCCTCCCCTCCCCCTCTTACTTTGCAATTCCTGATGCTGCTCATGCCAACGTAAGGAGAAATGCAGTTTGCAAGGACCAAGAGAAATAAGGGTCCATTCAAAGAACCAAAGTCCACCATTAAGACATTCTTAAGTTCAAAGCACACCTGTAAAATGTCGAAATTGTTACATGTCATACAATCAAACATAGTTGTATGTTTTTGAGAAATAGTGAGAAGTCCAGAATGGAAACATACACCCAATTTAAGAAGCAAACAAAAAGAGAAGGAACCATATTTTGTGACCCCTAGTAGCGGGTCGCATTCCCAGGAACTGCATGATATCAAAAGAAATTTTATTTTATTTTTTAAAGACTTTATTCATTTATTTGACAGAGAGAGACACAGCGAGAGAGGGAACACAAGCAGGGGGAGTGGGAAGGGAGAAGCAGGCTTCCCGCGGAGCAGGGAGCCCAATGTGGGACTCAATCCCAGGACCCTGGGATCATGACCTGAGCCGAAGGCAGACGCTTAATGACTAAGCAGCCCAGGTGCCCCCAAAAGAAATTTTAAAAACCTGAATTTTATAGGCGTGTATTTAGAGAGAATGAGCAGGTTCTCTTTCATATTTTCATCTAGTAATTGTTAAATGAAGACACATACTCTTTGGAGCTGCACTGATATTCTCGAAAGCTGCCATTTGTTTTAGTTCTCTATTTCCCAGAAGATGAATTATAGATAACAGCCTCTAAAACTCTAATAGTAATTGTCTTGAAGCTGTTCCTATGTTCTTGTCCCTAGGTACAAGATATAATTAGAGGAGAGCAAAATCTTTCTTGCATAACTTCTTGACTTCTAGAAATGTTTAAATTAATCTTTAAGGCATGGACAGGTCTTACTATAAATCTAAGTTGTTTTCCAGACAGGGTAATTGATTACTGTTATAACAATAGACTAAAAAAAAAAAAAAAAAGAGTACAGAAATGGCCTTATTTCATATGCAAAAAAATAGAGGTACCATTATATAAATTTCTTACTGTAAAAATTTCATTCTCTACAACCATTATGCATATACTTGCAAACATCTACCCAATTTCCACAATTTGTTCCTTTTTTATCTACCATAACTAAACACACCTGAGAGGCTGAGAATGGTTATTAAAATTATATATCATCAAAAATTGCACTATATTCCACAAGAGATAAAACATAAAAGAGCCAAGACCCAAAAGGACACTTCAGAATTTAAAATGATAGAGAAAACACTACAGAACCGTTAAATAATCATAATTTTAGAATTGGGGCCATACACTCTCATAAATTTCACACACACCCTCCACGCTTTCATTAGCCAATGTATATCACTTACTCAACAAATTCCCCCAGGAAGATGTGATGTAAGACTAAGGATTTGCATGTGAGGCTTTGCTGGTATGCTAGATTGCTAAGCAAATCCACTGGTTCACTGATTTCAGCAAATATGTATTGGGTACCTAGGTTAAGTGTGAAGAACTACTTAAGAATGAACCAAACAAAGCCCAAATTATGATTCTTTAACAGGTCTATTATTTTTCTCTATCATTTTAAAGTTTTCAGTGTCCTTTTGGATCTTGGCTCTTTTAATGTTCTATGTCTTGGGGAGCTGGGTATAATTTCTGATTAGACAAGATTTTAGACTAGAAGGATGAGGCCAGTGATAAAACAAGTCTATAGTGTGGTATCCAGGTGGTAATATATGGAAAAATAGATCAGCAGGAAGGATAGAAAATGATAAATTACATTTAATTTACTAAGGCAAGAAATTTTATCATATATTTGTTTTTTTCCATTAAAAATATGAGATTAAACATAAAACTCCTTGAAAAGTTCTTGATCTTTCATAATAAGTAATAGCAAACATGGACTGAATGCTAACTCTCCCTGCTACAAGAATATAAGCTCCAAAGAGTGGAACTTTTGTCTATTCTGTTCATGCTGTATCCCCAGCCCCTGAAAGTACCTGGAAGACAAAAAATATTTGTAAAATGAATGAAAAATGTATATGTCAGGCTCTGTTCTAGGTCCTCAGGAAACTGATTTAATCCTCACAATAATCATATAATTTAGGTACAATTATATTCCCCATTTTACAGATGAAGACAGTGAAGCAAGGAATGGCTAAGAAACTTGCTAATACGTAGTAAATAGGATTCAAACTCGGGTGGTAGGCTATAGAGTTCTTGCCCTTTATCCCTTGCTAAACTGTCTCTTATATAAGTCGGTACCACACTTACAAAAGGCAATGTGCTTCGCTCTGTTTTAATAAGCTCTGTAAAATTAAAAATTCCAAGAAGGGCATTGCTAATAATTCCCATAAGAACAGGAAAACAAGTCATTCTCTTGGTATTACATGCAACTGAAAATCTGTAATCCTTTAAAAAAACACAAATATAAGTTCCAAATTCTTAAAACAAATATATTTATTGTATAGTTTATAAATCACCACAGTGGAATTAAGGTGAGAAAGAGACTATTAATTTTTCTTTGACACTTCAGCCTTTTTGAATTGTTGGAATTGTTATAAGAATACATTATTTTGGTAATCCAAATGACTTATTCTATAAATGAAACAGATGAACATTCACTAATACGGAAAGATGTCAAAGATTTAGATCTTATGTGACAGAGAGAATTGTAGGACACTCTAATACAATTCCAATTCAGAAAATATATTTTCAAATATAAGATGGTCCTATAAATAGTGAGTTTGTGTTTTTATAAAGGAAAAGAGTGTAGAAGACATTTACCAAATGATTAACAGTTAGAAATATAATATGGAAAAATTAAGAAATAAAATTAGAGGGGTGCCTGGGTGGCTCAGTCCATTAAGTGTCTGCCTTCCTCTAGGAGTCCTGGGATCGAGTCCCATGTCAGGCTCCCTGCTCAGCGGGGAGTCTGCTTCTCCTTCTCTCTCTATCCCTCCCCCTGCTTGTGCTCTCTCTCTTTCAAATAAATAAATAAAGTAAAAAAAAAAAGAAATGAAATTAGAGAATTTTACCTTTTATATTATATATTCTAGTAATGTTTGAATTTATTAAATATGCATTGCTTTTTTCTGCTTTATTGAGGTATAATTGACAAACAGATTTGTAAGACACTTAAAAAGTACATCATGATTTGACATACATATACATTGTGAAGAGATTTCTCCCATCTAGTTAATATATCCATCACCTCACATGTACACATATGTATGTGTGTGCACATGTATGTATATATGAGAACATTTATGTTCTGCTCAGCAATTTCAATTATACTATACAGTGTTATCAACTATAGTCTCCATATTATATATTAGGTCTTTAGATCTTATTCATCTTATAGCTGAAAGCTCATATCCTTTTACCAGTCTAACCCTATTTCCCCTACCCCCTAGTCCCTGGCAACCACTTTTCTATTCTCTATTTCTAGGAGTTTGACTTTTTTTTTTCTTACTTATAAGTGATACCATGCAGTATTTGCCTTTCTCTGTCTGGTTTATTTAACTTAGCATCATTCCCTCAAAATCTATCCATGTTGTTGCAAAACATGCATTGCTTTTACAACAAATAAAATCACTAATAAAAGATGATCCCTTTGAGAAAAAACATGCTTTTTAAAGGATTAAAATTTCATACCTTACTCAAAAAGGACTCAAGTTATACTGATATAGAACACTTGAGTTGCTTTTCTATAGATCTAAAGTATTAGAAGGTGTCAAAACCCCATTCATGATAAAATAGTACATGGACCCAAACATACCTTCCAGTCACCAGACATTATGATGGCTCCATTGTAGGAAGGATCATCTGAGCCATTTCTATTTCTAAAGTCACCAACTTCTAAAAATATATCCTGATGCTTCAGTGCCTGCACAAAGTCTTCAATATTTGATCCTAATGTAGTCAATGAAGGAAGGCAACATAACAGCAAGAAAATCAACATCAGAGCTTTAAAATAAGAACGAATTCTTCTCATGTTAAGGAATACCCAGAATAACATGATAAAGACCTTCACTCTCTGAGAATAGGCTGAAATTAATTCTGACATGAAATCTGGTCTACCATCTTCAGTGTAACAGAATCCTTTCAGAAATAGGTTAATATATTTTGTAATTCTTATAAAGGTAAAAGGGTTTATTCCCAAGAGCTAGATTTGCAATTCTCACAGAAATAAAACTTATTAGTGATTTTTATGAACTCTGCCAGAACTCTGTAATGTTTGTAACTACATATACTATATACAAAATACACACCTCATTACCTAGGCTTGTCCTACTGATACAAATCAGTCCTACTCATTATCTAAACTGCTATATCTGGCTAACCTTCCAATTATATTTACTGTACTGGTGACCCATTCAAAACATCTTCATGAAGTTAAGTTAATTTGGTATTTTCCATTATGCCCATTGTTTTTCTTGATTTGAAAATGTGCCCATCAATTTCCTTAATTTGAAAATGAAGCAAGCTGTAAACACACACCACTTTCTCCCCCAAGCTGTTCTTAATAGAGGTCTTTTTGCTGCTCAGGTTTGTGTTTCAAAAGATCTTTGATGATAAAAATCAAGAGTAAATTGAATCCCTATTTCTCACCTGTATTATTGATGACCAACAGACTGGTAAGAGGAGCCTGTGAGGGTTGTTTCAGAGAAAGGAAATACATACTGGATGAAAGCTCCCAACAATGAGTGTGATTAGATACCACATCCACTATCTTCTCAAAAATGATGGGGGTAAAAGGAATACCAAGTATCAGTAACCTAAGTAAAGAAAATTAAAATGCAAGTCTAAAACGTTTTCCCTCTGACTATTTAAGTCACAAACATGCTATATAAATGCCAACCTATGGAGATTCAACATACAAATATGGCCTTTAGTTACATAAAGTGAAAATGAAATTAATCGAAAACGGGGTCAAAATTTTTCATAAATCATTATCACATTGCAAGATGTCCAAGGATAATAGAGCATCAAAAAGAGAAGCTGAGATCCAAGTGGTTGACCAGGACAACAGGAAAAAACGGTTTGACGATTTGACGGGATACCAGAGGCCTAACATAGTTTTAAAGGGAAAGGAACCCGATTTCACACTGCCCTCAGACTTGTGATGTGCACAATTTCAAGTAAAATTTTAACTCTCATCAGCTGTTGTTTTATACTTTAATTTTCACGAAACTAGATACCATATTTAATGCACTATTTCAGATCCTAGAATTCATTTATCCAGCTCAAACAATGAGTAAAAGTCTTTCAAGTAATCTTTTTGTTTCTCCAGTAAGGTTGTGAGTCCAGTCTTTGCAATGACTACTTTCTCATCAGACCTCAGGCTCTACCTCCTTCTTCCTCACTCTCAGCCTCATATTTCATAGGGAAAAAATGAAGTCCATCAGACAGAAACTCCCCCTGGTCTTATCATCTCTCCCCCCCCCAAAAAAAACCCAGAAAACATATCCATCCTGTCAGTGTTCCTTTCTGTTGTAATAGATGCTGTCTTTGCTCCCTATCAAAGTCAGTTTTCAATATTGCTCTGGATCCAGATGCTTGCCACCCTCCCTGAGATCTTGCTCAGTTAGCTCATCTTCAATTATTTCCCTACTGACATATCCCATCATGACTGAAGCATGTTCTAATGTCTCCCATTCATTAAAAAAACAAAAAGAAAAAAGAAACTTCCTCCTAATTTCAATCTCCCTTCAGCTACTACTGCTCTTTCTATTTCTCTCCATGGTGAAGCACCTCAAAAGAGCTGTCTATTTTCAGACCTTCTCTTCTCAAAACCTTCAATGACTTCCCTTTTGCCAAATATAATTGATGCTTTCTGCTCTAAACTGGTGTTCTCCCTCTCTTATTGGCTTGGCTTTTCCAATCTTGGCCCAAATGTGACCATTTCAATGAGGCCAACACACCACCTTATTTAGAATTATAATGAACTCCTAACTCCCACCAGCCTTTCCCATCCGCTTACTCTATTCTGCATAACTTACTATATAACTTATTTAGTTTTTATATTTGTTATTTGTTATCTTTTCCTCTCAACCAGAAGGTAAACACCACAGCACCTAAAACAATGCCTAGCACATAACAGGCTTCAATAATGATTTGTGATATAAGGAACAATTAACATATTTATTGGGTAATTATTTCATTGGTATTTTTCTCCCCCACAAGATGTAAGTTGAAAGGCCTTGTCAACTGTGCTCCCTTGTGTAGGATAACACTTATAGGCACTCCAAAAACTTTGTTAAATGGGTGAAGAAATTAATAGACTTATTTTCTTCACATTTAAACTTTTTTGTATATATTGACTAGAGAGATTTAAAGTAATCTGATACTTACAAGGACAAAAGAATTTTCCTTTCACGCCTTAACTTTAAGAAGCGAAGCTTTGCCATGGCACAGACCTGCTGTTTCCAGAGAGTTCCAGTACTAATGACCTTTCTCAATCCAGGAAGAGAACAAGGAGCCTGTTGCATTTCAGACTCAGTTCCAGTATCTCTTGTCTCATTGACTTTCTCCTCTTTCTGAATGCCAAAATCTGTAACCATGTAATAAACCATTAAAATCGGTTATGTTATTTGCATTTTCTCTTTAGAATCTTCAAAAATACACTAGAATATTTGAAACAGCACTTCTAACAAGTTAAGCTACTGATATCCATAACTCATATTCAAAATCTGTCCTTCAGACAACTATAATTCCAATGAGTGAGTAAATTCATTTTTGAGGATGGTTTAGCCTTCTTGGGAAGCATTTACTCTTTCATACCTATAGTAGCAGTTCTTCACTAAGGGATTTTTGCAGAGCAAAAAGGTTTATGCAAAAACATAAATATAAATGTATGTAGCTGAGTTTCTTTCTTTTTTTTAGATTTATTTTATTTATTCATTTGAGAGAGAAAGCATGCGTGCATGAGCGTGAGGAAGGACAGAAGGAAAGGATCTGAAGCAGACTCCATGCTGAGCGCAGAGCCTGACACAGGGCTCAACCCCATGACCCCGAGATCACGACCTGAGCCGAAATCAAGAGTTAGATGCTTAACCCACTGAGCCACCCAGGTGCCCCTGTAGCTGCGTTTCTAAAAGGGCTCCTCTGTCATCTAGAAGTCCTCCACAGGATTAGTTCATCACTGATGACTGACATCCCAGTGACTGTTTTAAGACACTGGTTTTAAGTCCAGGAAAGACCTCCTATTCAAATCTCACATATGCCTCACAGCAGCTGTTATGGTTCTGACTAATCACTCAATTTTTCCAAATCTCAGTTTTCTCCCTGCATAACAAAGTTATTATGGGAATTAAGAACAATGTAATCCAACAGCTGAGCACAATGGCTGGCACATAGTTAGCTCCTACATTCTTCTAATTATTAGTTCACAAACTAAACTAAGGGAAGATATCAACTTATTTATTCTTTATGACTACATTAATTAGAATTAATTTATTACCTAAGGAAGAGTACATTTTTATAGGAAATGGCAGGTAAGAGACGAAGCCAGAACTCATGACATTAGCAGAGAGCTATTGATGATATGGGGAAGTGGACACAATAATAGAGTAATTACCTAGCAACAAGTCTGATTATGTTAGATATAAAACAATTATGATACTTTTAAAAGTGGGCAACCCTATTTTACATCTAATACACATTTAGGCAGAATTCCACATAAAAACCTACAAATATGAATCAATACATGGTCATTTTCAGTTTCCTCTTTCTAGTTTTCTGCTAGACACACATCATTATACCGGGCTCATCAATTGTTAATTTGCCTTCTAGGTTCACAAAGACTTCATTGAGAGTTGTCATGGAAACACCATAATTCATTACGCCTTGGTCGGGACACTTTTCAAGGTCACTGTAAAGATCTAAAAAGCAGACAGCAATAAAATAATGCAATTAAATTTGCTAATAAGTACACTAAAATACAAAGTCCTAAAGATTACTCAGAATAGATAAATCTAAACATATTTTCATATTAAAGCTGCCACAATAATCTAATAAAAATATTTCCATGTTCTCTTGTCTTTCAAATCAATTTTATTATTTTGCATCTCTTTTCTGTTTCATACGCTTTAAAATTTCTTGCATCACTATGGCCATGCATATGTTTGTGTAAGTATGTATGTTTATTCAAAAATTCATTAAGCATGGGTAAATTTTATTTCCTTTCTGTATTTTCTAGTTTTTCTATACTGAGCATATTACACTTACAATTAAAATGATATTTTACAAAGACCCTGTTGACCTACTTCCAAGTGTTTTAAAAAAATAAGGCCTTATTTAATCTGTGTCTCTAAAACAAAAGTTTTTGCTGCTTCAGAAAAGACATTTCAAAGCTTCATTTAATGCTGACACAGAGAGCAAATCTGGGTTTTTCAGTGAAATACATTCATGGAAATTTTAGTTGCTCTCACACTAAAACCGTGTATCTGATAACACACTTCATTACATTGAAAACAGAAGGCAGAGCTCTTAGAATAGTGTGAGGTGTATAAGCTTTAAAACCCAACTGGTGGAAAATAGAAAATGCAATCAGCCTATCGTGGACACTTAGCCGTATTCTATATGATCATATGGTAAGTTACCTGGAAATTTGTTTGTTCTTTCCAAGGGCAAAATGTACACAAGTTTTTCTTCACTTTCTGCTGCTAACTTGGCATCAGGGATGTGCTGTCTATTGAGGGATGTAATTCTTTCTAGATTACACATTTCATTCCTGTGTAAACTAACATTTCAAAAGAAGCATAAGTCTTTTGAATTCATCTCTAACACCACTGCTCATTAAAAGACAGTTTTTTATTAAATAATTTGTATTTATTAGAGACATCTCCTGCTAATTTCAGTAATCAGTTCCCACAAATAAGATGTTCTATTTCCAAGTGCTAAATGGTAGCCGTGTTTGAATTATTTTAAATGGGAAAAAATACAGTGCATTACATGTCAACCCCAATCCCCCAAGCAACTTTCTAAAGTAAGTGGAAATTTCAGTTTACATGTTATATGGATATATGGATAGATAGGTAGATAGCAGGCTAGCATGTAAAAACACATATACTTATTACATAGAGATATGTATGTATATGTATATAAAATCATGATAGGATATAAAGTATATGAAACATTACTTCTGGATCACTAAAAAATTAATAAGGTTTTTAATAAACAGTTGCTTTCTTGCAGCAAATGGTTTCTATTAATGCCAATAACTTGCCTGTTGATATGCCCTGCTTTCTAAATTATCCCATGTGATATTCTGACATATAAAGTAGATTTAGAATACAATTTCAGAACTTTAGGGCCAATTGTTCTGTTAAAAATTATCGTTTTTTTTTTTCTTGAGAGAAAGAGAGTGCAAGAGGGAGGGGAGGGGCAGAAGGAGAGGGAGAGAATCCTAAGCAGATTCCACACCCAGCACGGAGCCCAACACGGGGCTCAATCTCACTACCCTGAGATCATGACCTGGGCCAAAATCAAGAATCAGACACTTAACCAACAGAGCCACTCAGGCGCCCCATAAATTATCAGTTGCTTTTTGAAAACATAATTATGTTTCCGATATATCAGCCAAAAATGTTTTATTGAAAGATACATACACATTTAGAAATTTACATATTTAAAACCAAGAGATAAATATCAAGGCACATGTTAATGAGGGAGATACACTATACTGATTATTGTACATCAATTTCCACCAAATATTAAGCTGGCTTTTTTTTTTTAAGATTTTATTTATTTATTTGAGAGAGAGAGAGAATGAGAGAGAGCACATGAGGGGGATTATGGTCAGAGGGAGAAGCAGACTCCCTGCCGAACAGGGAGCCCGATGCGGGACTCGATCCAGGGACTCCAGGATCATGACCTGAGCCGAAGGCAGTTGCTTAATCAACTGAGCCACCCAGGCGTCCCGAATTCTTCATTTTTTTTTTAAAGATTTTATTTTTTATTATTTATTTGAGACAGAGAGAATGAGAGAGAGAGAGCACATGAGGGGGGGGAGGGTCAGAGGGAGAAGCAGGCTCCCCGCCGAGCAGGGAGCCCGATGCGGGACTCGATCCCGGGACTCCAGGATCATGACCTGAGCCGAAGGCAGTTGCTTAACCAACTGAGCCACCCAGGCGCCCTAAGCTGGCTTTCTTATATCTCTAGAGGATTACATGAAATGTCACCTCTTACATTGATACTCATATTAAAAAGCTACTCCCAGAATACATTACCTTAAGTGATATCCAATACCCCATTTTTGCTTCAGAAACAAAGACGACCCTGCACATTTCAACTTCCCATTAGACGCAAACACTTCCCTATCTCTGAGAAGAAAGAAAGAAAGAATAAATTATGTGAATTCCTTATATGGGTATATTCTCTGCTCTGGAGACCAAATCACCAAATGAACTTTTCAGTATGAATGCAGTCTTGATATAACTGAGTTCCTGGGTGCAGCACCACCTCTCACCCCCACGCTTCCTTTGAAGCAGGACTCAGAAATTCATTGCATCCCTCACAGCTTATCCAGTGGCATGAAACATTGCTAAGAGAGACCAAATCTTCCACTCTCCCTTTATCCACATACTTTGCTATGTAACTTTGCAGTGTTCTCTCACCGTGGGCTAGGAGACCTGCTCCACCCCTTGATATGTGCCTCCACCACATGAGGCCAATGCTTTGGCCAATGGCATGTTAGCTGACTTTGGCAAGTAGAGGTCTGAAATGGGCTTATGCTTTGGGACTTGGTCTCTAGGGCCTTAGTTATTGCCGTGAGAATGCCTGGGGCAGTCTGCTGGAAGAGGAAATACACCCAGGCTGGCACCTAAGCCACCTTAGGTCACCTAATTTGACTTGCCAACGGTCACTCAACCACCAGACATGTAAGCGAACCCAGTCAAAGACCTGAAGATCTTTCTAAGTGAGCCCACCCTAAATTGCCAACTCTCCAACTCATGCACTCAATAAATACTTAATTGACTTAAGACACTAAGTTTGAGGATGGCTGTTTCATAGTTATTAAGGCAGGAGGAAACTGAGAGGTAAAGTATATTTTACTTCAGATTTCATGGAGGAAACTTAGAATAAGGTTATACTGCACATTAGAAAGCAAAAATTTCTCTTCTTTTCACTGAGTCTATTTCTGTCTTCATTTTTTTTAAGATTCTGCCTTGTACCCTTTCCTGGCTTACTGAAACTCGTCTTCCCCACCCTGCCACTATGTCCTAGACAGAACATTTATTCAATCTCTAATTCTCCAATCTTGTATCTTCACACTCAATACCTTGCTTAGTGAACCAAGAATCCTCCTAAGAAGGCAACAAAGGGTTATAAATTTAAAAATAATTTTCCCAGCTGAAAGTTTTTTCTATCCAACAACAAAACTATATATGAAATATTAGAGTTTCAAAATTTAAAAAATATACTTGTGATTAATGTAGACAGTGAAGAAAGTTACAGACAAGAAGATACATAAAGCATGGGCCTAAGAACATACTGGGGGATCAGAATTCTTCCAAAGCAAATTTCATCTTTACAAGGCAGTCACTCAAATGGATTAAATACAGGATTCTCTACTTTTAAAAACAGATTATAGAGAATATCTCTCATGTTCAATCCTTAAATAACTATTAGAAGAAAGAAACCAAGAATCACCAGCCACGATGTAAGCCTCATCCATGATCTGGGTACTAAGAAGGATTGTGTGGTTTGTTTTATGCTCCTGCAGGAAGGTGCAAACTTGGTGCCTTGAAAAAGGATCCAACCCAGCAGTCGGTTCATCCAGGAGCAAAACCTACAAAGGAGGAAGAGTATGAGCTCATCTTCCACTTCCAAGTGAGGGTCTTTAGAATGTTGCATGGTAACCCATATGATTTCTAGATTCAAATACAGCCCTCCACTGGATTCCTCATAGGCTTGCATGGTCCTTTATTACAAATTTTCTCTTATATTTGGTAATTAGAGTTTGGTCTTTAATAATCGTTTGATAGCCTTCAATACAAATTAATCTTGGGGCACCTGGGTGGCTCAATCAGTTAAGTGTCTGCCTTCGGCTCAAGTCATGATCCCAGGGTCCTGGGATCAAGCCCTGTGTTGGGCTCCCTGTTCAGTGAGGAGTCTGCTTCTCCCTCTCCCATTGCCCTCCCCCGCCCCCCCACACTCATGCTCTCTCACTCACTCCCTCTCAAATAAGTAAATAAAATCTTTTAAAAACAAATTAATCTCAAAAAATATTTTTTTCTCTTACCCGAGGATCTCCTAAAATGGCAATCCCAAATGTTAGTTTTCTCTTCTGTCCACGACTTAGTTTTTTAGCAATAACATCTTGAATGTTTTGTATGTCCAATTCCATTATAACTCTTTTTACCTATTGAAAGAAAACCTCTACATAATAAAAAATATTTTACTTTAATCTTCAAATAATTAGGAGAAATCTATTCTAAGAACTTCATCAATTAAGCTTTATTTATGAAAAAATAAAGTAATAGTTCAACAAAAACATGGTCAAGAGCAAAGTATATTATTTTCAAAGGCATTAGTTCTAATATGCTCACCTACATCTTGTTCTACTTCTTCTGACTGAATCCCTTTTATTTTAGCAAATAGCCTGAGGTTTTCTCTCACAGTAAGAAAGTCAAATTGAATATTGAATTGCGGACAAAATCCAATGTTCTTTCTCATTTCTTCCATGTTAGTTATTTCAGAGAGTTGAGTATTATAAATAGTGACTGATCCTGTAAATAGAAATTTTCAAGTATTCAACACCAGGAAAGTAACTCTAGGAAGTGGTAAGACAGGATATTAGTTGAAGAAACTTCACATTTCATAATTGCATAAATAATACATTGAGAAATTCAGATTATTCTTAACATAAATATCAGGGTCCACAGCAATGCAAAGTGGACACAGAATGACAATAGCAGAGCGGAGATACAAGCTTTCTGGTGAATTTATATAAATATGAAATAAATAGTTCCTATTCTAAATTACTCAACTGTGTAAAAAAGCCTGCTTTAGAGAAGTGTTTTTGTTTTACACAATCTCACTGAGGAACCTGCTTCATCAGCCAACTTGCTTCTAAAATTCTTTTCTTACCTTTTGTAGAACCAGACAACCCACTCAGAATGTTTAGCAGTGTCGATTTACCAGCTCTGCTGTGTCCAAGTATTGCAGTGACCTGTCCTTCATATATGTCAAGAAATATGCCTGTTTTAGAATAAAATCTGAAAATTAGACCTTGGATTATATTCAGATGGAGTGGACCTTACAAAAGTTTGTAAGAGTCAAATGTATCTCAGCGCTTCATTTATTGGTATTCTTCTGTGTACCCTCTAAAATTATGTATTTAATTGTGTCTTTTTATGAAGACAAAACCTTAATTTCTCTGGAGAAATTGGATCAAGACTGATAATATAAATTTCTACCTTCCTCCCTACCCAAATCCTTCAAATGTCAAAGAATATATTAATTCGATGTTAAAGAACAGAGCAAAGGCTACTAGGAATAAAGCAGAGTGAAGAGAGTATTTGCTTCCTGGGCCAGGGAAAGCAGTGCGACTGAAGGAACAGTCTCCCAGAGGCTCCCAGAGCTGAGACAGAAGGGCCAGGGATAGAGGCAAAGGGGTACGTATTCCACATTTGGAGGGAGGGAGCATGGGTTAAAGAGAGGATGGTAAAGTTTTCCCTGGCACTGGTCACTGCTCTGTTTTGTATCACAAAAGTGGTGTCATGGTCTTTAGAGGGGTCTGTGGGACCCAGGACACATCACAGGCATTTTTCTATATGAGTGCTTAAGATTTGATAATTTTTTCTTGAATATTTGAAACATTATCTAACTCTATGGAGAAACAATAGAGTTCCATTAGCACCCCAGAAATTTTAAAAGATTCTCTGAAGATAGACAACATGTGGAATTATATTGTCAGAGAATCAAAAACAAGACAAACCACAGCCCAAAACAGATGATGAGAAGTCCTATGAAAGTAAGCACAATTCCAGTGATACTGCAAGCTCAGTCTGACAAATCCAAGTCAAAGATTATAAACCAGCACAAGCAGTACAATCCTATTTTTAAAAATGTTATATATATGTAAATATATTATCGATGACTATCCCTCAGAGTAGAAATGTGGGCTTTTAAAATTTTTTCTTTTGGGGCGCCTGGGTGGCTCAGTCGTTAGGCGTCTGCCTTCGGCTCAGGTCATGGTCCTAGGGTCCTGGGATCGAGCCCTGCATCGGGCTTCCCGCTCTGCGGGAGGCCTGCTTCTCCCTCTCCCACTCCCCCTGCTTGTGTTCCTTCTCTTGCTGTGTCTCTTTCTGTCAAATAAATTAATTAAATCTTTAAAAAAATTTTTTTTTTCTTTTTATCTAGACTCATTCTCCAATTTGCCACTATGACTGTTTGCATCTTCCCGAAACAAAAAAAAAAAATTTTTTTTTAATTAAAAACATCATCAAAACAATGAAGTTTTTCTCTTCATCTTGCAATGCTTCTACTTTTTCAGGCTTTCCATCATATTCTTTTGTAACATTTCTGATTCTGAAAAAAAAAGAAGCAACTTTGAGGTAAGTACATTTCCTAATGACACAGATTATGTTAACTGCCAATATTACAGTTTGTGATTAATCCTGAACCTCACAAGGTAGGGTGTCACCCTCATAACGGGATCCAAGGAGGGCAGTGGGGAAAGCTCACACCACCCCCAAAGAGATTTGCACAGACCTGCTCATACTGTTATCAAACTTGTTATTTCGTATATTCCAGCTATTTCTCTCAGTTGGCAAATGAAGAGAGAGCTACCACTGAAAGAAAGGAAGGAAAGAACAGGAGAGAGAGTGAGGAAGAGAGGATGGGGGAGAGGCTTTCCTTCAGTCCTGAACCCCTATTATTTCATTTTTCTTCTCCTCCACAGGCAAATTTATCAAAATAGTCTCTCTACTCTCTGTTTCCATTTCTTTATCTCACATTTATTCCCAACCTAAAGCAACATAGCTTCTGACCCTACAACTCCACTGAAACTATCCTCAGCAAAGACACCAATGACACTCTATGGAATCCAATGGACACTGACACTTTCCAGTCATTGTTTAATAGATGCTGTATTAAACAATTGCTAGCTCCTTTCTTCTTGCAAGGCTTTATTTCCTTGGCTTCTGCCCTCTTGGTTTCCATATCCTTCTCTTACTATTCCACTCAGCATACTTTATGGATTCCTTAAACTGGATTCCACACTTAACCAACTATTTTTCTTATTCTCAAATCTTTGCCATATAATAGTGCCCACTCTCATTGCTTCAACTCTTACTTAGATTCTAATGATTTCCAAATTTGTGTCTTTAGGCCTTTCTTCAAAGTCTCAGATGGGAATATCCAGCTTTTTGCTCTGCATCTACACATAGATACCACACAGGGCTTATTATTTTTCCCTCTAAACCAGTCCCACTTCTACTCTCTATCTCAGTTGGTGTTTTCAGCATCCACCGAGGAATGCCAATTAAATGCCTAAGAAACGTCCTTCTTTCTTATCTCTCTCTCACCTCATCCTGTGGTCTACAAAATTACTGTAATTTAACCTTATGGATTTATGAATTTAAGTTTATGAAATCTCTTTGAATTTATCCCTTTATCACTTGTCTATGACCTTCTAGTCCAGATTCTTATCATCTCTTACCTTGACCTCTGAACCTGATGATGTTTTCCCTTTCCATCAACCTAGCCCCTTGTCTCCTGCAATACAGAGGATATGCCAGGAACTACACTTCCCAAAAATCCTTCTCTGTATTGGACTTGAGGAGAACTTGGCAAGATTTGGAAAGCAGAAGTGAAAAAAGGCCATTTTTCTCTGAAGGTCATGGCGGCAGACACATGGGCAGACTCTAGGTTTGTAGCAGCTTCTCAGACTTCTTGACAAGCCCTGTTTTGCTGCTGGAGATTAAGAAACCTGGTGGGAACCTTCCCAGAGAATCCCAGCAAACTTTGTGAGACCCACCCACTTCCATGCATCTGGATAAGGTCCTCAGGGGCTGTTTCCCTGACTTTCTGGCTACAGCTTTCTTGACCCTCCCTCTGCCATTCTTAGTACTTTTACGAATTACTAATTCCCATACCAAATCCCTTTACTTACACAATATTTCCAGCAACTCACTTTTCCTGAGCAACCCAGACTGACACAACCTTTGGAATGTTTCCATTTCTCCAGTTGTGCTGCCTTCAAATCCATTCCAGAAAGCTGTCCAAGTGATCTGTCAGAGGTCTGGCTGTCTACTTTGCCTCCCTAAATTCACTTGGTGATTCCCCACACTATGCAGGACAGACTGTCCTTGGCAAACAAAACTCAAGTGATCTGATTTGGCCCGTACCTCTTAATATTTACTTCTCCCTCTTCTAGCCTTGTATTTTGAGCTCAGAAATGTCAATTTCTTGTCATTCTTTAGACGCGCACACATTGTTTCTTGCTGTGCTATGTTTGTCATGCTGTATTCCCTGTTTGGAAGAACCTTCAAGTGCCCCATCACAACTTATGTGACCTTTCCCTTCCATAAGACTCACCTCAAGAGTTATCTCCTGACTTTTCCTACCACTCTTAGGCTGGGCTGAATGATCCTTCTCTAGGTTTGGTTATTCTCTGCATCCATCTCTACCACTCTTTTTACTAATTATCTATTTAAGTGCCTGTTTCCCCCCAGGCTCTGCCTGTCCTGAGGTGAAAGACTGTCATTCATCTTTGAATCCTAGTTCTGGCAGAGGGCTTAATGAATGATGAATAAATGAAGGAACTAATTTGCCAGCAGAAACAGTCTGGTCCAGAATGATCCAAGGAGCTGATTTGAGGCATGCTGGGCTATCAAGCACAAAAAGAGAGGCTGTCATCAAAAAGAATGAAATCTTGCCATTTGCAACAACGTGGATGGAACTG